AGAACCTCAAACCATGAAATATTATAAATAGTTATGGTATAAATTTAGAAAAAGCATGACTAGAAATGGCATATTTCATCACAATGCCAGATTAATCATAAAAACAATACATGTGAAAATGGGATATTTTTTTTCACAACCATCCATTTCATACTTCTAACATACCAATGGATTAAAAAATATGATTGTGCTTTGTTCTACCATAGGATAGGGGTTCACCTCCAGAACATGCCCTATGCCACAGCACTAAAAACATAACATGCTATCCAAATCAGACAGTTCATTTAAGTTCTTGAAAACTAAATTAAGCAACATGGAAAATATCAAATTGGCCAAGCATGTCAATATTGGTTTTTGTGCAACAGAAGATATGAAAGTATTGATTGCCACAGAGAAGGTAACTCCAAGAAATGAAATTGCAAGGAATGTTTGTCTGTTTTGATCTGTTTAATTGAGAAATTGCTAGTGAAGTGTCCGTTGAAATACTCATTTACCCACAATGTCACCTGTTTTTATCCTCTAAAAATGGCCTGAAATGTAATGAATAGTAAACCTCGTTTTCAGTGTGTACTATCCACTCTTGTCAATTTGAAAGCTTTCAAAGCAGAAGAATGTGATCACTTAATCATACAGTATGGCTTGTTTTTATCTCAGGTTGTGAAGCCAAATTTCTGCATGTTCAATGATTCTGACCTCAAAACCAATAGATTTGACTGCTTTTTGTTCAAACACATGGGCCAAGCTATGGATTACGAATCCTTATGGCATGTTGTCAAACATTTTGATACTTTCTCATGGCCAAGCAACTGTTGAAAAGAGGCTTTTCTGTGAATGAAGGGTTAATGCTTCAAAACATGAAGGATGTCTCCCTTGTTGGTCAGCAATTAATCTATGATTATGTGTAGTCAGTTGAGGTATTCTGGAAGTTCCTTTGTCAAAGAAACTGCTCACTGCCACTCAGAGTGGCAGACAGAAATATAACCAATACCTCAATCAAGAGAGGGAGACAGCTGAAATGAATGAAAAGAAACTTATCCTTGAGGATATTGCAAAATGTAAGGCTAAATGCCAAAAATTTTACAAAGATATAGCACCCTTAATTGAGGCTGCTGACAAAGCCCGAAAAATAAGGCAATTTGACTGATTTGGCAAAATCATATAGTTTCAAGAAACAAGCAAATTAAACATTTTGCATGAAGAAATTGCAAAGATGGTGGAAAAGTCAAAGAATTGTTAATCTATGTTCTATTGTTGTGTTTCACATGTAGTCATTCATCAATATATACAGAAAAAACCGTTAATGTGAATTATATGATTTATTTCATGTTATATTTGGTCTGGAAAATCACTTTTAAGGGCTATAGAAAGTTTCTGAAATGTCATGAAATTTTCTCAAAAATGTTTTCAAAATTCTTGGACATCCTGTATATTACCAATTCATGAAAATATTGGATACATATTAAAATACATTTCTTAAATAAACTGGTTGTTCTTCATATTGTACAAACTTCTCTTATGAGACATTTAAAGAAAATTGAAAATGGTGAAAAAGAAAAAGAATTCCAGTTTCATTACAAATTAAGAATTAAAAAAAAAGGATGATTTTGTCGAAACTTTAATATAATTATAACTACAATTAAAACCATTACAAATGTAAAATGACATACTAAGAAGAAACTATGAGACTAAATTAATTAGCACAGCCAATTTGGATGGTAGTTTGTTTCAGACATCTCAATATTAAATGAAAAACCTTATATTCTAAATGCAAAATTATCTACTTACTATGGTCATTCTTTGAAAGGGGGAGTTCTAATTTGTAAGATCAAAAGCCAACACATATAGTGTAAAGTACAATCAGCATGCTAATGCTACGTAGGTCTGGGGGCATGAACCCCCAGAAAATTTAAAAAAGAAAAAGAAACAGGTGCTATGAGAGAAACTAGAAGAAATTGTACATGAAATATAGCTTAAACAATTGCATGCCTCACATAAAATCCACAAACATCCAAAAGTCAACAAATCATCATTCTGTTGAAACACTGCATGGGGAGCTAGACTTTAATTAGCAATAAATATGTGTTTTATTATAGTAAAGTACTGTATTATCTACATGCACAGTAGTTATTAATTGTTAAAGTATATTACTAAATTAAAAAACTCTGTACAACAATATTATATTGGCTATTTCAATCATTCATTATCATATATGTACATGTATGCAATACTGAAATAACATGTTAACATGTTAAAAAAAAAAAAAAAAAAAAAAAAAAAAAAAAAAAAAAAAAAAAAAAAAAAAAAAAAAAAAAAAAA